TACTCAGAGGTGATTTACCATCCCCACCCTTGGTGGAGGACTGTTCTACGACTGTGCAGGTTTTCCCAAGGCTACGCAGGCTGGCTTTTCTCCCGGAAGGCACCATGGGGGATATTAAACCTCTGAGCCAGAGGCCTAACTCTCTGAGCTATCCAGCCAGCGGTAAAACCTGTACTGGGCCACTAAAAATACAAGAAAGGGGTGAGTTTTCAAGTATCCTTTTAGGCTGGGCTTTGCAGAACCTGGAAAGAGAAGGAGAAATCGGAAAGTGAAATCCTGTCTTGTTAGTTTTTGTTTTCCCTTAGTAACATTTCTTGAACGCTAGCTCCCTCTAGTGCTTGACTTGCACGGGACACCTGCTGAAAAAAAACCATAATAACCATTACCCTCTATTTGGCTCCGCTGCACTTTCTTCCTGTCTACCATGTTGCTGAAGGTGCATTTTACCGCAAAAATAAAGTACCACAGATTGTATCTGAAGAGAGATGAAGGATAACACAGCAGACACCAAAAGTCTTGTGGTATATTATGATGAGAAGGTTTTATTTGGCATAAGCTTCAGTGTACTTCAGCTCAGTTCTTCAGACGAAGAAGGCGGTAGTCCACGAGAGCTTTTGCCAGATGAAATCTGCCAGTTTTAAAGGTGCCACAGGATTGTTTGGTTGTTTGCTTGCAGCGCCCTAAAGGCTACCTCCACAAAGTGCAGTGGGCTGCCTCAGTTGTCCCCTGTGTTGTTGGGAGAAAGCAAAACAGCGAGAGAGCATATATATATATGCCACTTTCAAAAGTCAAATGAGGGGAAGGAGAGAAAGAGAAATGCAGGACTGGATAGTGCCGGAGAGGGCAGTTGGCTAAAGTCTGAAGGAGGGCCAAAGGGAGCTTTGCCCCCACCAGAGTTTCCCTCTCCTGCTTTGTGGCCTCCTTTGGACCCATGAACGGGGCAGGTTTCCTGCGACACCTCTGCCAACCCATTCAACCGACTCTGCTTTGTTGCCAAGGTCTTTTTCCTCAGGAAAGGGCTTGGCGTCTGTTTAGCAAAAACATGTTTCCACCATGAGTCATGTGGGGTCAATGCGCGCAACATGAGCTCCCCATTCAGTCCAAACCGGTGCGAGTCTCTGTGCCACTGAGCCATAGCCCTGAGCAAATAGGCGGGGACCGGCATGAACAAAAAACCACGCCTGCAGACTTCAGGTGGGAGGACTGAGGACTTGGCAAGAAGGAGCGGTCTCCAAGCGGGCAATGGCGGAGGCCCATTTCTGTAGCGTTCTGGTCACCGGGGCCAACCGGGGTATTGGGCTGGAGCTGGTGAAGCAGCTCCTGGGGCTCCCGAAACCGCCCCAGTGGGTCTTTGCCACTTGCCGGGACCCGCAGGGAGCTGGAGCACAGGTGAGCGCCGGGGAATCTCCATAAGCGCCTCATCTTTTTTTTAAAGAAAAAAATTCTTACAGACAGCAAATTTTAGAATGCGAGAAAAAAAAACCTGAGCACTCCCCTTATGTTGTCCCTCGTGTTGCATCGCCTCCCTTTGCTCCTGCTTTCCAGGTGTCACCGTGAGGGTCTGGCCTCCCTCTTCTAGTGTCGCTGTTTTCTCCTCTGGCGAGGCACCGTGGATTTGCTTTTCTGCCGTTGCTGTGGCTCGGAAGTCGTTTTCCTCCCCAGGGTCTTTGCAAGTGAGATGTTTATGCAAAAGAACAGGACGGATACACTCTCTCTGTGTGTATGTGTGATAGCTATGCTGAGAGCTCTGCCAAATTCCATTTGTGTGTGTGTGTGTGTGTGTGTGTGTGTGACTACAACACCTACAATCCCTTGACCACCATGGGCATCCTGATGGGGGAATGATTGGGGTCGCGATCCCAACGGTCTCCAAGCGGGCAATGGCGGAGGCCCATTTCTGTAGCGTTCTGGTCACCGGGGCCAACCGGGGTATTGGACTGGAGCTGGTGAGGCAGCTCCTGGGGCTCCCGAAACCACCCCAGTGGGTTTTTGCCACTTGCCGGGACCCGCAGGGAGCCGGAGCACAGGTGAGCGCCGGGGAATCTCCATAAGCGCCTCATCTTTTTTTTAAAGAAAAAAAATTCTTACAGACAGCAAATTTTCGGATGCGAGGAAAAAAAAAACCTGAGCATTCCCCTTGTGTTGTCCCTCATGTTGCATCGCCTCCCTTTGCTCCTGCTTTCCAGGTGTCACCGTGAGGGTCTGGCCTCCCTCTTCTAGTGCCGCTGTTTTCTCCTCTGGCGAGGCACCGTGGATTTGCTTTTCTGCCGTTGCTGTGGCTCGGAAGTTGTTTTCCTCCCCAGGGTCTTTGCAAGTGGGATGTTTATGCAAAAGAACAGGACGGATAGATACACTCTCTCTGTGTGTCTATGTGATAGCTATGCTGAGAGCTCTGCCAAATTCCGTGTGTGTGTGTGTGTGTGTGTACCTACAATCCCTTGACCACCATGGGCATCCTGATGGGGGAATGATTGGGGTCGCGATCCCAACAAATGGAGAGGGGGGGGCTTTCCAAAAACTGATTTAAAGAGTGAGCATTTCTTGGCAAGGTGGCTTCTGCAGTTTCTCGTTCCAAGCTAGAGACAGCCCTCCGGTCGGTTAAATCTCTTTCAGGGACGCTCAACAGGTTTTACAAGTTGGACCCCTGATGTCGGAAGTAAGAACCCCAGAGTCTGGTGGGAGCTTCCGCTCAGGTAACTCTGCGTAGGATTTTAGGAAAGGTTCGGTTTTTAGCCGCCCGTGCTTTCCGAAGAAGCGTCTAACGACAGTGTCAATGCCTTCTTTGAATATAAATATGAGAGGAGGAGGAGGATAATGTGCAGTCAAGTCAGTTCTGACTTATGACAAAGTTTTCAGGTTTTTCCTGGTAGAGAATGCTCAAATGTGGTTCGGAATCCCCCTTTTCTTGTTTTCCTCCCCAGGGTCTTTGCAAGTGGGATGTTTATGCAAAAGAACAGGACGGATAGATACACTCTCTCTGTGTGTCTATGTGATAGCTATGCTGAGAGCTCTGCCAAATTCCATTTGTGTGTGTGTGTGTGTGTGTGTGTGTGTGACTACAACACCTACAATCCCTTGACCACCATGGGCATCCTGATGGGGGAATGATTGGGGTCGCGATCCCAACAAATGGAGAGGGGGGGGCTTTCCAAAAACTGATTTAAAGAGTGAGCATTTCTTGGCAAGGTGGCTTCTGCAGTTTCTCGTTCCAAGCTAGAGACAGCCCTCCGGTCGGTTAAATCTCTTTCAGGGACGCTCAACAGGTTTTACAAGTTGGACCCCTGATGTCGGAAGTAAGAACCCCAGAGTCTGGTGGGAGCTTCCGCTCAGGTAACTCTGCGTAGGATTTTAGGAAAGGTTCGGTTTTTAGCCGCCCGTGCTTTCCGAAGAAGCGTCTAACGACAGTGTCAATGCCTTCTTTGAATATAAATATGAGAGGAGGAGGAGGATAATGTGCAGTCAAGTCAGTTCTGACTTATGACAAAGTTTTCAGGTTTTTCCTGGTAGAGAATGCTCAAATGTGGTTCGGAATCCCCCTTTTCTGTGGGATGCCCTGGGACTGTGTGCAGCTTGCCCAAGGCCACCCGGGCTGGCTCTTCTCCCAGGAGGCCCAGTGGGGGAATCGAACTCGCAGCCTCTGGCAGCCAGATATCTAAACCACAGAGTTACCCAACCAGATTTATATAAATATGAGAACAGGAGGATATAGGAAGTTTTATTCACATCTTGAGAGTGTGACCATGGATTTCCCAGAGCTTGGGAAAAAAAATATATTTTGGGAATACAGTTCCCAGAAAGGCTAAGGGATTCTGGGAATTGTAGTCAAAAAAGTAAAATGACCAAGCTCTGGGATTCTTCTGGCAGCTGTGGCCTGTCCAAGTTGCCACGGTAAGCTCCTTCACTTCAAAAGTTACCCTGATGCATCACATTGCTGTGTCTTGTAATTGCAGAAATCTCTTTTTGGTGCCCAGAAGGGGGATGATGGGTTTTGTTTTCCTAGTATTCAGTCAAAAAAAGCAACCATCCTTTTTGGCTTTATTTTATTGGAGGAAGACAGGCGTCTGCAGAACAAATGTGTATGGCTTGCCAACGGTGGAGTAAATCCTTTAGGAATTTTTAAAAACCAAATTAGTTAAAGTTCAAGAACAAGTCAAGAAAAATAAGAATTGGAAAGGAAAGTTGGAGGGCCGTCTCTTTTTCCAGAAGAATTCAGAACTGCTATTTTCCCTGGTGTTTTTTTTTCCCCCTCCAGGAACTGAAAAAACTGGCTTCCAAACACGCCAATCTCGTGATACTGCAGCTGGGTAGGTACAATCCGTCATTCTTGTGCATTGTTCACATCTTGAACCAGATTTGCTCCTGGAAGCTGTCGTCCAAAAAAACCTAAAATGTACGTCTTCTTATCCAGCTGCTGCCTCGTTCACTGGATTTTATGGGAGTGGGAGGGGCGTGTCACATCCTTCTTTCTGCCTTTGTTTTCCTGTTGCTTCCTCCGAAATTTTCCCAGGTGAGGGGCCAGCCGTCCAAGAGGAAACAAGGGGTGTCTTCTCACGGCCAGCTTGAGGAGCACAGCTTTTGAAAAATGCCCAAGGTGGTGCCAAAGAGGTGCCCGGCAGCCAGGGTGCGCCTGCAAGTTCTCTCCACCATTGTTGGCATGACTTTGCTCTGGGTGGTTCGATGTGCAGAAATCACGGTGCTCTCCGGCACCATTTAGGGCAGGAAAGATCATGGTTCCTTGATTCGGTGCTCCTGTCATAACTCATTCGGACTTTCTGCCCTGGTGGTCATCTCTGTTCTTCTGAAGCCTTAAGTTCCTCCTCCAGCCTCTGGAGAGGTCGGGAGTTCAAAATGGCAGAGGGGAAATTTGGGGAAAGAAAAGGTAACCAGGTTGGTTTAAAACAAACAGGAGGGACAGAAAGGCAACCCTTGTAGGCAGAGCTGAAGGGAAGAGAGGGCCAGGGAGGGAGGGGCAGGTAAAGGGAACTTGGTGACATCCTGTTATTCTCAGTCTCAGGTTGTAGACTTGGTGGGAACATCTAAGTGGTCACTGTGTGGACCAGCTGGGCTTTGATAGAAAAAGCTGCATTGAATGCTAATGGAGAGGAGGTGTGTTGTTGATGTCATGGGTGCTGGTCAATAGGCATTTGCCAGGACCAGTGTTTCTGATCTTCAAGACAAAGCTCATGTTGAAAATCTACAGAATGCTCCACCCACCCTACAAGCTCACTTGTGAGATACTAGGGGAGCCCTGCGGGAGCTGATCAAAGGCCCGCCTAGCCCCGCATTCAGTTCACAAAGGCTGACCATCGGCCGTTGTGAAACCCACACACGTGATGTGAGCACATCAGCCCTCTTTGGTCGATCCTCCTCCACTGCTGCTTTTCAGAGGCATGCTGACTCTAGGGCAGGAGCAAGCCAGCGACAGCACCCCCTAACCACACCAAGGGCCTCATCCTAGCTGCCCGTGGAAGGTGGTCTCACCCCATAAAGACAAATCCCGTTCTGTTGTTTCGGCAGAGGCTACAGATGAAGGAAGCATCAAGGCTGCAGCCAAGGAAGCCGAAGCCCGCCTGGCAGGGAAGGGGCTAACTTTGCTGATCAACAACGCCGGTGTCATGCCACCAAGCACCCTGGATTCAGTGACCCAGGAGGACATGCTGAGCGTCTACCGTATCAACGTTCTGGGGCCAATGGAGGTGACCAAGGTAGAGTCATGTCTCGCCCTTTGTGGGCTAGGGATGCTGTTTCTTAAGCTCAGTGGGGTATCCCTATGGTACCGCTTCCCCGATGGAGTATTTTTAGGGTAGCAAAGGCCGTGATCAGAGGGGGCATCAAACAGCAGGTCCAAACGGCGCTGTTTCTAGTGCAAAATGTGAATTTTGGATTCCGTGTTGGCCACCAAGGGTGTTTTTGCATCAATTGACTCTCCCGGGGAAGAGAATCGAATTGCACCCATGCCGAGAAGCCTCTGAGAACAGCCGCCCCCCTTTTCCATAGGTGACTCTGCTGCCCTGTGCGGTGAATAATGTTTCAGAGCCACTGTGCAGCTTACCCAAGGCCACACAGGTGGCAGGACACACAACCCCCTTGGCCGCCCGTGCCAGGTGATCTCAGCTAGCTTGTCTTCATGGGGGCCCAATTCTCAGCTCATGTGCCATTAAGTCGATTCTGCCTTCTGGTGATCCCCTTTTTTAGGGTTTTCCAGGTAGAGAGGACTCAGAAGTGCTTTACTCTTCCCTTCCTCTAGGGGGCAGTTCTGGGACTTCTTGGGCAGCTGGCCCAAGGCCACCCAGGCTGGCTCTTCTCCCAGGAGACACACAGTGGGGAAACCAAACTCCCAACCTCTGGCTCTACAGCCAGAGCGAAACCACTGGACTATACTAGCACTTAATAGCTTCGTATTTCCTCCATAATTAGCCATTTCTTCCGCATTTGATGAGATGGGCTTTTATTGCAGATGCAGAAGGGCTTCTCCTCTTTGCAATTCGTAAGGCTCCCTGAACGTTC